ATGTATGTCTGAGTTAGGTCATTTTTCCTATAAATAAAAGCAGTTAACACAAAATGTTAGGTCTGTGCTAACATGGGGCAATGGCATCTAGTTGTTATATAGATGAAGAAATGATATTTGACTGATTGTCGTAGACATTTCGATCTTCACCCCAAAAAACCTTAGGAAAATGCAAAAGTCAAATATCATTAATAATCTCCATCACATTATGTTTTTTCCACCGATAGGAAGAGTAACAAAGAAAATGACTCTTTGGATTGGCTTAAAAGTTTGTCAAATTTACTTTTAAGTCACCTTTTGACTTTTGGAAGTATTTGACAAATATAAAAAATAACTTAAAATAAGTCACAAAGCGTTTGACAAGGTAAAAAATGACTTAAAATAAATCAGAAACCAAAAGTAGGTCTCCCCCTACTTTTTTTTTGACTTAAAAGTCATTTCAGTTTGACTTAAAATCTATTTTTTTTAAGCCAATCCAAACGGAACTCATAAATAGAAAATATCATAAATAAAAAAATATTACAGTATAGCATCACCTTATTGTAGCGGCCAAACACATAAACAACCCCTCAAACTTGCCCTCATTTTTCATTTTGGCACTCCAACTTAGGCTTGTTCCATTTTAACCCTTAAACTCCATTTTTTCTGTACCATTTAAACACTAACACTAATTTTTATGATTTTTTATTTATTTATGTCCTTCAATTGCAATTTCTTATTTTAAAAAATAGACGTGTGTCTGTTAATTTTCGTAAAAAAATTAAACATTCGCAAACGAACATAATTTTTTTCAAACAATAATATTATTTTTTGAGATTTATCTGTATTTTTGCATGAAAGTAAATTGACGAAAGTTTTTTGATTTTCTTTCTTAAACATTCAATTAAATTAAATAACACTACTTATTTATTTTTTCTTATCATCTAGGCTATCTAAATTTAACGCAAATACTCACTTTTTATTTTTAATATAAATCAATACGAATAAGAAAACTCATCTTCAATACGAGTAAAAAAGACTCTTGTTCATTGCTAATAACACTACTAAAAATGTTAAAACTCGACTGACTTTGTTAGATTGTCGGTGATTTTTTATTTTTCACACAAAAATACATAAAACTCCTAAAAAAAATTATTATTTTTTAAAAAGAATTATTTTTTGTTAATTTTTATTTTTTTAAACTAAAATTAACTGACACATGTCGATTTAAAATAAGAAGTTGCAATTGAAATATATATATATATAAATAAAGAAATCATAAAAATAGCATTTCGTGTTAAAATGGTACATAAAAAATGAAGTTTAAGGGTTAAACTGGAACAAGGCTAAGATAAAGTGCCAAAATGAAAAATGCGGACAAGTTAAAGGGGTTGTATATGTGTTTGGCCTATTGTAGCTAAAAAATTACAGTATAGCATCACCGACAGAATGTGTTTTCCATTGTTGTTACGTTGTTATTGCTTCTTCTATTAGATTGTTTTAAGTGATGGAAATTTTCTTTTACAACACTTCATGGCTTCTACTGCTTGAAGATAGTGTCATTGTCTTCTTTGAGACATAGATAGTAACATTGTCTTCTTTGAGACATCTCATGTTTTTCCCACCGCGAATTAGTGAAAAATTTGTGTTATATAACATGATTTTCTCATTCATTTTTCACCGAATCAGCTTGCTGAAAAAAATGTATGGTGATAATGGGAAGTTACATAAACCCCACTAGTTTAGGAGCTAATTACTTAGATACACTCTAGTTTGTAATATTACGTATTTCAAATACATTTGGTCAAATTTATGTGTAATTTGTTCTAGATACATTATATCCAAGTGAATTCACATGTATCTGAGATACATAGCAAATATCGCTCACCTCTATCGCCACTCCAATGTATCTGACATCCACATCCCAGATGCATGTGAATCACTCCAGATACATGTATACAGTGCGTATCTAGTATGATTCACATGTATCTGGGATTCATACGAATTCTCGCTCGCCGCCCTCTACAATCTTACTCGCCTCTCTCCCTATTTTTATGTACCTGGTAGCAAAAATACATGTATCTAAATATAAGATACGTAGGAAACTCTTAATTAGTGGAAAAATACGTAATATTTTGAAAATATAGATAATAATAATATATATGATAGTGTAATATGTTTAATTAGGTAGTTTTTCCTAAATAAATTCTCACAGAAATAATGAATAGCTTCCTATTTTTTCTATATGAAATAATTAAGTACTATTTTTTTTTTATATTAATTCAATCAAAATATCTATAAAAATTACAACGATATACTATTAAAATTTAAACGTGAAAATTGTGATTATTTAGTACTGTATCATGAGTGATGAACCAACAGTATTTTATTAGGAGTATTATTTAGCTTTACACACCACATGTAAACTTAACCATAGCACCTAATATATCTATTTTTTCTTAGTTTGAATGTGGCTAATATTTAATGAAACTTTAATTGTGTTTTTTGTTTCAACCAAATCTTAGCGCTACTGAACTTATCACCTGTCGGTGTTATGTTGAACTATTTTTGTGTTGGAAAAAAAAAAGGTTAGCTCATTCCCTACTCCTCAAAAGATCTTATCCCTTTATTGGTTTCGATTTTCATTCGGTATTCGATATTTATATAGACGAGCACAATTAAATTTGGATTCGCACTAGAAAGTCGATTCACATTGCGGGATAAAGCACTCCCACGACTCCGTATCCACGGACGTAAACCCGAGACCTCTTAATTAAGGGTGAATGAGTACTTACCACTCTGATACTCCACCACAATATCTTTTATAATATTTGAAAGGAAAATGATTTTATCCTTTTCCTTCTCAATCCTTATCAATGATTAATTAAAGAAAAAGTTGTATACATCAATTATTTGGAGTTCAATTAAAATATTTAATAAATCGAATATAAAAAATTTAAAAGTATTTTCTTCCATACCAAACGCACCAAACTAGACGAAAACCTCTTTAAAAAGTTGACTTTGAAAGGGAAGACCGAATAATAATTAACCTCAAAGTCTTATTATTGATTTAGTCTTGGCCAATGGCAAGTTTTAATTAGTACTGTACTACACTGTTTTTTTATGCAATTTAATTTGTACTTTCTATTTTGAAGTGAAGAAGGTAACAAAAATTCAAAATTCACTCAAATAAAAATTTAGAAGCCATAATAATGGAGTATCATAATTATAAGACTAATTAATTTTCATTTAGAATAAGATAATATTTTTAAGAAACTAAATTTTATTTTGTTTGTTTATATATATACTTATAATTCTTGTGTATATCTTTTCTTAATTTTCCAAACAAATTTAAATTTTTTTTGTTCCCTATCCGGTGTTCGAAAGCCCACATTAGAGCTCCAATTAAATTCGAATCGCACACCACAAAACCCATTCAGGGGTAGCGCTCCCAATTGGATAAACAAACTTAAGTTATCCTTGTGAATACGTACAATTTTTTTCTCCATATTCTTTGTTGTTTTATGTGATTAATTATTAGTATGCTATTAACGTTGTTATATCTTTTTTCAAGTATGTGAGATAAAATACTTTATCATAGAATTTAATTAATTAATTAAGAAGACTTTGGAGTACCCTAGTTGGTATTTTATCCCCTACTTAATTAAGTTAATAAAAAGCAGGTTGAGGTAGTACTTCAGTGAGGTTACTTGGCAACAAAAGTATTTTTATAAAATTTCATATTTTTAATTATGAATAAGCTTCACATCGATCGATTTTTTTTGGGGAAAATTGTATGAAATAGCAAACTATTAATTCAAACTAAATGTTATAGCCATAGTTTATTTTATTTGTAATTCGCAGCAAACATCCCCTTTTTTTGCCATCTGATTCGGTATACAATTAGCCATTTTTGGTATACAATTAGCCATTTTATACATTTCGGTATAAAATACGTTTGTGTTTGTATAAAGCGAGATAAAAGTGTACATACAAATACAAATATTTTCGTTTTATACACTTATAATTATACAAATACAGATCTTATTATACAAATTACAATGTATAAATGAATTTATACAAAACTAAACAATTTGTATAAAATTGGATGTATCTAGCAAATTATACAAATCAAAAGCTCCATAACAAACATAAAATTTGTTATGGAGCGAAATTATGCAAACTATAGCTATAACATACAAATATATTTTTTATGTTTGTTATATGTGAAAGTTGTTATTTTTTATGTTTCCTATATATATATATTTTTTTTTTTATGAATAAGCATCACATCGATCGATCATTTATGTGCTAACAAATTATATTATTCCTTTCATTGTAATTTGTTTCTCTTTATCCCTATCATTTTGCACGACACATTTAAGATCTTAACTAAGACTTAAATGACATTTTGATATATTGCACAAATCTTTAATTTTAAATAATAAAATTGAAAAGTCCTTTATTCTTTTTAAATTGTATCTGGAGTCAAATTAAAAATAAATAAATTAAAATAGATGGAGTAAATTATTGAGAAATTTTTGCAAATAGCCTTTATAATAAACTTAGTTATGCTCCATAGCTACAGTTTGCATATTTACAAGTTGTAGCTACAGTTTAAGCTGCCTAGTTTGTATAATTTGCGGGTTTGTATAATTCGCGGGTGAGTTTGTATAATTCGCGGGTATGTTTGTATAATTGAGCTATTTTTGTATAAACTCGAAATAACGAAATACAAAAGTTATACAAATTAGGGAAATTATATTATACAAATTCTGAATTATACAAACATGAGAATTATATAAACTCGAAACCTCAGCCTACGTAATTATCACTGAATTTTGGTTACGAGTGACAATTAACTAAAACTATAGCTATGATGACTAGTTAAGTTTACTTAATTATTTAATTTTCCCAAAATTATATGATTGAAATAGAAAAAATTGCATTTGACTTTTATCTATTAAAATATATATGGGGTAGTAGTTGTTTTAGCGTATAGGCTTCTTGGATAATGATTAGTACATACATCCATGTCTTAAATTTTCTATATGTTAAACATCTCTTATATATATAGGCCACTTTTGCCTATTTGATTCCTATACAAAGCTCCAAAATATATATAGCATTGAACATGAAGGTATGTTGAAAAAAGATTAAATATAGCTAGGATTAATTGTTTGTTTTTTTTTCTTTTTTTGTCCATGGCTAATCTAAGGTCAATTTGTTATACAGAAAAAAATTGTGATTGATATCCCAGTCAGCAGTGATAGGTGCATATCAAAGGCAATGCAGATTGCTGTAACTATATGTGGTAAGTTTTTTTATTAAATCCCTAAATTAAATTTGAATATTCGATGATCAAAGTCTCTAAATTCGAAAAGATTATATGTATTTTGTTTGTATGGGATCGAAAAATCATGGAATTGTTCCATCGAAAAGTCAAACAAACTTCCCACATGAGCTTCTATCGATTCATTCATCTGATCGTAAATTAAAGCCACTTTTGATTCAACAACATATTCTTCAATAGTATTCATTCTAGATTCTTTTATTTTCATGTAAAGATCATTTCCTTCTTGAATAGTACGTTTAGCAATTTTGTTGACCGGCCAATTTCATAATGAATACTTCCTGCGTTCAATTTTAATTATTATAGTTTTCTTTTATAGAGTCAAACTATAAGAATTTTGATTAACATTTTATGATGTATTTTTTTATCATATTGATATGCAAAAAATTGCAATTTATAGTACTTCTCGTATAGTTTTTGAATATCTAAATTTTTTGTTCAAAGTATCGAATTAATGTATTCTAACTTTGAAAATTAGTCATATTGACTTTCAAAAAGCGCAGCATAACAATAAAAAGTGGACGGAGAGAGTACTTTTTTCTGTTGTGACACATTTTTCATTTTAGTCTGTTTAAACATAACTTTAACTTTAAAATTCTCTCCTTTTATCCTAAATAAAATAACTTATTTTAGATAATAAATTCAAACGTTTTCAAAATTTTATGTCTAATCAAACGATGCAGGTGTTACGTCGGTGAATGTAGATAAGGGAAAAGGCCATTTGATTGTGATAGGAGAAGGGGTTGATTCATTTGATTTGATGAGGTGCATAAAGAGGAGGTTTAGGTGTGCTAACATTGTGAGTGTTGAAGATGTGAAACCTCCCAATGATGAAGAAGAAAAAAAGAAGAAGGAAGCAGAAGCAAAGAAGAAAAAGGAAGAAGAAGCAAAGAAGAAAAAAGAGGCAGAAGAAAAAGAAAAAGAAAAGTGTTGCAAATCATGTTGTGATTGTTGTCCACCATATTGCCCTCCATATTGTCCACCAAACCCTCCATGTGTACAATATTATCCTGTATGCCAACCTGTTTATGATAATTATGATCCATCTTGCTCTATTTTTTGATTCCTCAAATAAAATGGAATTTTTGTTCAACCTAATACAAAGGATGCTCAACTATATTGCATTTACATGCAAGGGCATTTTTACTATCCTATAGTTTCGGCATAGCAAAGTTTGCACTATCTTTTTGTACTTAAACGGCACAACATGCTAGGTGCGTTGAAGAATGAAGTGAATCTAATGATCCTACTATTTGTGGAACTTGTTATTTCTATTTTTCTGTAGGAAGTCATTTTTCAGTTTTTAAGATATTTATTTTTTCTGGAGAAAAATATTTTTCAGTTATATTTATCAAATCAAATATGAGAAAACTGGAAAACATTACTCTGTATACGAAAGCAATAAAACTATTTGGATATTCTCTTCGTCCCAATTTATTTAACACACAATTGGAATCTCAAAGAGTCTGCAAAGTTTATCTATCTTTGATCAGAAATTTCTTATATGCATTTTAAATATTTTAAATTGTTAATTATTATGATTTATAATACTTTTAATGTTTTCAAATATATAAATTATATTGCAAAAAATTTAAAAATTCTATGTCGAAATTCACTGTCAAAATTTACAAGTAATGTAACTTTTTTTTTTAACCTTAGCTGCTAAAAAATATCTCACCTTTTCAGGATCTTTTGTCAACTAACTTTTTCTTGATCACTTCCCATCCCTCTTTTTTTCAAAGGAAGACCAACTATGGTTAAGAGAAACATAGTTCTTCTTTGTGAGTTCCTTAATATTTTGTTTGACGTAATCACTAACACTATGTTTGAATAGTTATTATGTAGTACAAAAATTGTTTATATATATAACTTAAATTAATAAATTATGTGTTAATCCACTAGTAACACATAAAATGTCAACATACATGCATCTCGACTTTCTTATATGTATGAAATTTGTATCCATAAAATGAAGAAATATGAAATGGTCATCATACTCGTTTATATTTTTTCGTGATCCCCCCCTCCCCCCCACCCCACACGCACACCCCCAACATCTCGTAATCTTTTCCTAATTTGACTTTCACTAACTATGATTTATGTCAATATCATGGTTGTTAGTATTTCCATTGAAATTCAAGAATGTTTAACAGGTCATACTTCCAAATATTTCTAACTAATTCATTAAAAATTCCTCTATCTGAATATTTAACAATTTCAAAGAATGGGGGAGGGGGGTGTGTAGGGGGTAAGGGGTGCCTTTCTTTAATAGATATTATATACTTTTAATGATTAGCAGCTCCAACACGATTCTTGCCTCAGAAAAAGGATATCAACATATATATTGCCATTTTTAAAAGATTAATTACAATAAATATTCCTATTATATGATTTCATTTTGGATATACTTCCATGTATTTTAAAATCAGACATTTACACCCTTATATGACTGAAAATCATTTACACCCCAAAATTTTGGTTTAAAATCAAATTCCCTCCTCAACTTTGAAAAATAATTTTTTTTCCCCGCTATCCTATGCAAAGTCCGTTTTACCTTTGTCATTTTTAATACTCCATCTTTATAACATTCTTTTTATGTTATACATTATATCTTATTTTTTGACCATTGTATTTATAAATTTATTTAATTTCATTAACATTATAAGTGAATACTCCTTTTATAAGTCTAACCATTACTGATCCTAGGGGTGTGCAAAAACCGATTTAACCAATAAACCGAACTGAAAAAAACACTATTGGTTTATTGATATTGGGTTATTGGGCTAACGGTTTTTAAACGGTTTTGCAAAATTTTTTATTGGGTTATTGGTTCGGTTTCCGGTTTTATAATTTTTGTTAATGGTTAAACCGATAACCCAATAAGACTATACTAAATTTACTAGTCTTATTGTTAATGGTTAAGCGATTGTTACTTTCACACTTTTTTGTTAATGGTTAACGATTGTTACTTTCACACTTTTTTCCTTTGAATGTGTCTAGTGTCTAAACTTGCAAGAAAAATGATTGTTACTTTTATGATTATTACTTTCATGCCAAATGCTGGAAAAATCATATGGGTTTATTTGAAAAATTTTCTTATTGTGTATATAATATATATGAGTATTTTCTTATTGGTTAAACCGCAAACCGAACCGTTAAGTACCATAAACCGATTAACCAAAAACCGATAAGAATATGTTATTGGTTTGGTTATCGGTTTTGAAGTATTTACAAACCGAAAACCGATAAACCGAACCAATAACACCTAAAATCGAACCGAACCGACCGATGCACACCCCTAACTGATCCTACATTTGGGTAACATGAGTAGTTCACACTATCCATTTCTTACACTCACTAGCTCTTTATTTATCTGGTGCTTTATTATCATAGTAATTTTTTTTTTGCTTTCGCACACATGAGTGTTTGGAGTCCACATTGAAACTTTGATTAAATTCAAATCGCACACTATAGTGCCTATTTAGGGACATAGGATAAAATTGGAACATGGAAGATTACTGCGCAAAAATGACACACAAATCGAAAAATTATCCTAGTACTTATTACTTACTATTAGACATCCCACACATATCCACTACAATCCAACACAACTATATCACGATTAACGACAATCATTTATCTATCACAAATTATACACGTACATAAAACTCAAATATAGGTTAAACAAGGACCATCATATAAACTCCTCTCTAGCATATCCTAGTTACCAACCACTAAACAAGCGAATCACCCAAGAATACCATAATGACTAGGGTGTATACTATTGGCGGACTCAGGATTTTTACGAAGTGGGTTCAAGATATAAAAAATAAAACTAAAATGTGGCAACAGGGATTCAATCTCGGGTTGGCTGGGAAAATTGAACCCTCTTCACCACTCGGCCAAGGTCACACTTGTGTTAGTGGGGTCAAAAGTTACTATATACATATAAAATTTTAAAAACTGATTAAATATACATACATATACGGTGCTATTTTTCCACGACACTTGACCCACTGTAGGTCCGCCCTTGGTGTATACACTATGATGGGGTTTCAATAACTAGGGTGTATACACTATGATGGAATTTCAATAAAATAGGCAATAATTAATCTCTGTATGTGTGTGTTTTTGTGTGTGTGTATTTTATTATTTTTTTTTAAAAAAACATTGCCTGGATTGATCTTGGAGTGCAAAAAGTTACAAGTTGAGTTTGGCATCCCAAACTATATACAAGATCATTGAGAAGAAGCTATTATATTTGTACTACTATCCAAAAAAGGTCCTAATGGCCGAGAAATCTAAGGAGGTTCTAAGGGATGGAAAACCCCACCTGTTCATATTAGTGAGTCCTTTAATATCTGCTGGCAGATCAAAGAAGGAGTTGAATATTTGAATTCCATTACTTCCATGGCTTAGGGAGGCTAACTTATCGGGAATTTTGTTAGCTTCCCTGTTGCAATGAGTTATTGTAAATTCATTCACTTCAAATAGTTTCTGAATGTCTTCTATGAGTCTTGAAATCATCCATGGGGGCTTCCATACTTTGTTTATGCAATTTGTAAGAAGTAGAGAATCAATTTCTCCCCAAATTGTTCTAGAGTCATGAGTTGATCACCATTTCAGCCCATACATCATTGCGGCTGGTTCAGCATAACTGCTCGTCCCTGGTCCTAACGGTATAGAATATGCAAAAATGATCTTTCTAGCGGAGTCTCTTACATTCCCTCCTCCTCCGCATATCCCGTTTACACAACTTCAGCCACTATTAAGTTTCAATGTATTAAAGTGAGGTCGGATCCACTTCACAATTATGACCTCCTTTTGCTGTATGTTGTAGTCACAAGCCTGGCATACTGTTTTCCAATTATCTCCAAACCTTGCTCTTCCGAATTTCTTATTCAAGACCTACAAAATATTGAACAAGATGTTAGAGGCTGATTTGTAAACTGAAGGGTTTTCCACCTCCTATTTGTTGCTGCATCTAGTTCGTCAAATTTCCCAACAAATGAAAGTCGGGATGATCTTGATAATGAGGGTGCAAAAAGGATTGCACCAATTTAGTAGAGTGAATCTCAAATTGATATTGTTGGTGCTTATGCCTAGAGGTCCTGCAAAATAAAACCAATTTATTTAGCGAAGTCCGCAAGCCAAAACAAATGATCCACTAATTCAAGGTCAGTGGCCACTCTGTTTAAGTTACAACAGTAGCATTTTGGATCCATTGGGATCCCAAATCTCGCATTCCTTTGGTCTGTAGAAAACTTTTTTTGGATGACCCTCCATGTAAGAAAAGACATCTTGAAAGGGATGTTTTGGTGCCACAGTCTACTGTCCATGTTGTTTGGGATCCTTTCTTGTCTCAACTCCCTCCATGCAGATCCTATAGTGAACTTTCCCGTGTGTGAAAGTGTCCATATAGGCTTGTCCTCCTTGTTACAAAAGGCAATAGGGCTATGGTGATTGTAGATCACTTTTTCCACTTCTTCAGGGATAGAGATATTGAGCCTATTCCACTCCCATTCACCTTTGTGACAAATATATTTCAACTGAATATCAATGATATTGACATTATTGTCCACCTGATGATATAGGGGACCAAGACTACACTAATTATCATACCAAAATGAGATATCTCCTCTGCCAATGCTCCAAAAAAATTATGATCAATCATATCTTTTGTACTGCAGAGCTCTTTCCAGCTCACCCACTTTTGACCACTAAAGCGAGTGACGAGAAACCTGGTGAGGAGCCCATTAACGTCACGCCCAAAGTAGAGTGGATCACGAGGATTGATACGGCGAGGCAGGTTGTGGAGATCTTAGGCAAGCGCTTGAACAAGGTCAATGGCAAGTTTAAGACTCTCGAGGACTTCACCCTTGAAGAGAATGACAACATCCACAAAGAGTTGGAGGCGCGTAGGCATGCAAAGTATGAGATGAAAGAAATCATCACTTCCTTGGAGTGTCGGCTCATGGATTCATTAAGAACGATTAAAACCATGAAGGTCGAGATGGAAACTCTCAAGGGAGGATTGGTGTCACGCCCCGAGCCTACACCCTGGGCGGGACCGGCACTCGGAGACCATT